AAAATCCTAACACACGGCCACCCTATCAGCAATGAGGGCCTCCTGGTCTATTAAATATGCTTATTCTGACTACATAGTCAACACAGTATTGTAGCTTCTCAGTACCTGAAAATATACTACTAGATGAGTGAAAATTGAAAACACCCATGTTTGAAAACACACACCAGACTGTTTAAAGTAATGCCTCAGTATGGGAGTGGGAAGTTCTAGCTAATTGTTTAATTAAGATTTAAATGCCTTGAGATTTTTATCAGGAAAAATATTCCACTTAGGAAGCACTGAATTATTCGATCGTTCATTCAAGTCTTACTTTTTTAAACAGAGAAAGAATGTATTCATATGTATTCCTAATTTATAATTACAACATTCACAATTTCCTAAATACCCATCTATTCCAAAACAGAGAATGTCTATGTTTGCTCAAGAAATCTTGACAAAGAATCTAGTTAGTCAAATCTAGTTGTCAAAATCCTGAAGTCAAAAATAACTACTCTAAAGGGAAAAGAATATACTGGGTCGTGAATGGTTAAGTAAAACAGAGTGGGGCTCAATAAATAATGTCCCAAGACAATTTCTCTTTAGTTCTTACCCTCTCATACTCGAGGTTTTTGGAATTCAATTGCTGAGTCATAACATCTTTGCCTGAATCAAGTTTAATGCAAAGTTCTCTAAGAGATGATAAATCATTTAATACTGCTGCTTTCTCATTTTCTTGACGTCTCAGCTCTTCTTCTACTCTAGACATGGCTTTTGCCATTGATGAGATTTGAGATTCATAAGCATGATGTGCATTTATGTGCTGAGAAAAGAAAAACAGGTAAAAAGTTAAAGTAACCCAATAATTTTAAGGGCTTGACTCTGTGCAGCCATTACCTTGCTTTAGAAAAAATATGACAGCCAATTTTTGCATATTTTAAAATACTGTCAGGAAGGTACCTGCTATTTAAAGATGGCCTATTTAATGCTTAACAAAAGGAATTGTATATAATTATTAATCATGGTAACCAAGTACCTCATGTATATATCTGGAAGATGCAAACATGAAAATGATTATGTCAGGGGGTTGTGAATATGAGGAATTTTTGAAGTTATATTAAATTTTTCCATTATAAATTTTCCGATAATAAATGCTGTTTCAAGAAAAAGTAACATATATACTTATCATTCCCCAACTGTCTTCAGTTAAATTCAACATTTCAAAAATGGGATTTACTTTAAAACTAAATACCTGAAGTCATATTTCAATTTAATTGAACTTAATAATAATACACAACTTTATAAGATTTTAATAACTTTAATGAGCAAAATTTGAAATACTGATAACCTACATTTTGTGAATGATAAAATACAAACTGATTTCAAGTTTACTTTAAAACTAAATACCTGAAGTCATATTTCAATTTAATTGAACTTAATAATAATACACAACTTTATAAGATTTTAATAACTTTAATAAGCAAAATTTGAAATACTGATAACCTACATTTTGTGAATGATAAAATACAAACTGATTTCAACTCTACTTCTAGATTTGGGGAACAATTCCACACTTGAAAATGAAATTATTTTTACAGATTTTACTGAAATGATTCAACATTAAGAACCTAATATTGTGCTGTGAAGATTTAATAAATTTCACCAGTGGTAGAAAAGTAAATATTTGGCTTTTCCAAATATTAATGCATTAATTAATATAAGTTCTAATGAACTATATAAACACGTAAAAGCCAATTTCATATATCCCATTAGAACATGAACAATGTCAAAGAACAAAAAAATTAAAGAATACAGTCAGCTCTCTGTATCTGTGGAAGATTGGTTCCAGGACCCCTGAGGAAATCCAAGTCCGTCATATAAAATGGCGTAGTACAGTTGACCCTCCATATCTGTGGATGCGAGACCAACTGATACGAAGGGCCGACTATAGTTTCTGAAAAGCTCTTCTGAAGGTTGAAAAGCATTCCTTTAATTAACTTTTTTTTAAAAAATTAACTCTTTGTAATAGAAAAAACTTATACAGATAGTATATTAGTTTCCTAGGACTGCCATAACAAATTACTGCAAACTAGGTGGCTTTAAACAACAGAAATTTATTCTCTCACAGTTCTGGAGGTTAGAAGTCCAAAATTAAGGTAGTTGGCAGGGCTGATTCCTTCCGAAGATTCTGAGGGTGAAGCTGCTCCTTGTCTCTCTCCTAGCTTCTGGTGGTTGCTGACGAAGTATGGTGTTCACTGCCTTGTAGACATATCACTCCAATCTCTGCCTTGGTCTTCACATGGCATTCTCTCCTGTCTTCTATGTCCCTCATCTTATGACACCAGTCGTCATTCACTAGGTTAAGGCTCACCCTAATTCAGCATGACGTCACCTTAAATTAATCACATCTGCAAAGACCCTATTTCCAAATAAGGTCAGATTCACAGGGACTGCGGGTTAGGATTTCAACATGTCCCTTTGGTGAACACAATTTTACCTCTTCTCTGGAGCCCCCCAAATTCATGTCCTTTCCATCTACAAAATCCATTCACTCCATCCCAACATTCTAGCACCAACTCTAAGTCCAAAATTTCATCTAAGATTCATCTGAATCAGATATGGGTGAGACTCTGAATATGATCCACCTTGGGGTAAAATTCCTCTCCATTTACAGACTACAGTACAGAATACACTACAAAGCAAGTTAATCTGCCTCCAAAATTCAGTGGCAGAACAGACACAGAATAGACAGCCCCATTCCAAAAGGGAGAAAATAGAAGGAATAAAGGGGTTACTAATCCAAAGTAAGTTTGCAACCAAACAGGGCAAGTTCCATTAGACTTCAAAGCCTAACAATAATGATCAGTGGCTCAATGCTCTGTCCTCTGGGCCTGCCAAGGTGGTCCTATCCTTTCAATCTTCCACTATAGCTTGTTCCTGAAGGATGGTAGCCCTGCCCTCTAGCACCAGGAGGCAGTGGCCTCATCCCCTAGGCCACTGCCCTCTGGGCTTTGGGTGGCAGCAGCCCTACCAGCCTCTGAGCTGCCCTTCGCAGCCCTGCTGGTCTCTGAGCAATCCTTAAAAGCCATTTTTCCCTTTTCTTGAAGGTGAACACATATTTGTAGCCAGGTAGCTCTACTGGCCCATTTTCGGCCAGCAGGATCCCAGAAGTGCAACAGCTTTCCTTCATTTCATCTCATTTCTGTCTCTTTCAATCAAAGCCGGTGGTGTTTCTGCTGAGTTGATTGACTGGAACCATGAGTCACATACCTAATCTCTTCATCAAGAGTTGTCTAGCCACACTCTTGGCCCTGTCTCCAAAGCACACTATCTGGATGGGCTAAGAATCTTCCAAAATTATCAAGTTCTGGTTCCTTTTTTGCTTAGCAGTTCCTTCTTCAATTTCTTTCCTCTTGCATTTTACTATAAGCAAAAAGTTGTCCCTTCTACACTTCGCTTAGAAACTTCATCTAAATGTCCAAGTTCATCACTTATAGGTTCTACTTTCCTCCCAACAGTAGACCATAATTTAGCCAGTTCTCTGCGACTTTATAAGAAGGATCATCTTTTCTTCAGTTTTCAATAACATGTTCCTCAACTCCACTAGAGACATCACCGGAAGAAATATTCATATTTCCAGCAAAATTCCATTCATGATGATATACAAAGGTACTTCAAAAAGTTTGTGGAGGGCCGGCCCGGTGGCGCACTGGAGAGTGCGCCGCTTGGGAGCGCGGAAGCACTCCCGCCGAGGGTTCGGATCCCATGTGGAGACCGGTTCCCGCTCACTGGCTGAGCGTGGTGCGGGCACAACACCGAGGGTTGCGATCCCATTGCCGGTCCCCGGTACGGGCGCGACACCGAGGGTTGCGATCCCGTTACCGGTCAGTAAAAAAGACAAAAGGAAAAAAAAAAAAAAAAAAGTTTGTGGAAAAATAGAATTAAAAGATAACATGAATCTTTCTATCAACTTTTTCAAGTACCCTTGTGTTATTTTGTAAATGGTAGAAGTTTTTCTACAGCTCTGCTTTCTGAGCCCTCACCACAATTGCCTTTGATATCTATATTTCCATCATCTCTTCAAGGCAATCCAGGTGTTTTCTATCAACCTCCTCAAAACTTCCAGTCTCTACCCATTACTCAATTCCAAAGTCACTTTCATATTTTTAGGTGTTTGTTACAGCAGGAACCCATTTCCTTCTATATTAGTTTCCTAGAGATGCTGTAACAAATTGCCACTAATTGGATGCCTTAAAAAAACAGACATTTATTCCCTCACAGTCCTGTAGGCTAGATGTCCAAAATTCAGGTGTTGGTAGGTTTGGTTCCTTCTGGAAATTCCGAAGCAGAATCTGTTCCATGCCTTTCCCAGTTTCTGGTGGTTACTGACAATCCTTGGTGTTCCTTGATTTGTAGACCTCTCATTCCAAATTCTGCCTGTGTCTTCGATATGGTGTTCTCCCCTGTGTCTTCTGTATCCAAATCTCCCTCATCTTGTAAGGACATCAGTCACTGGTTTAGAGTCTACCTTAATCCAGTATGACCCTCATTTTAATTTTATTACATCTGCAAAGACACTGTTTCCAAATAAGGCAGTGGGAGTTAGGACCTACATATATCTTTCCGGAGGCCATAATTCTATCTAGTACAAATAGTACATTTTCTTGAAAGATGAAGATTACAAAACTATACCAACAAAACCAAACAAAAACAAAAGTAATAGCCAACTATTCTATATCAATCTAACCCAGAGTCCCAATATTTTAACTGAACTCAAAAAATTTATTATGAAATTTTTATTCGACTGTCTTTATAACAAAAGCTTATTTAAATCCACATGCAAAAGAATGTTGGACCCTTACCTTATACCATATACAAAAATTAATGCAAATGAATCAAAGACCTGAACATAAGAGCTAAAACTATAAATGTTTTAGAAGAAAACATAGGGGAAAGCTTCATGACACTGGATTTAACAATGATTTCTGGGATATAACACCAAAAGTATAGGCAACAGCAAAAAATTGATAAATTGGACTTCATCAAAATTAAAAACTTTTGTGCATCAAAAACTGTCAAAAGAGTAAAAAGGCAACCCATAATGGGAAAAAGAAATTTACAAATCACATATTTAATAAGGTATTATTCTCTAGAATATATAATGCCTACAACTCAATAATAATGAAAAAAAAATCTGATTAAAAATGGACAAAAGGGGCCAAGCCCGTGGCGTACTCAGGAGAGTGCGGCGCTGGGAGCGCAGGAGCGCTCCCGCCGCGGGTTCAGATCTGTATAGGGATGGCCAGTGCGCTCACTGGCTGAGTGCAGTGCGACCGGTCTCAAAAAGGACAAAAAAAAAAAAAAAAGAAAATGGAGAAAAGACTTGAATAGACATTTCTTCAAAGAAAACATACAAAATGGTCAATAAACACATAAAAAGATGCTCAACATCACTAATAATTAAGAAAATGCAAATCAAAACCACAATGAGATACCATTTCACTCCCATTAGAAGTAGCTATTATCAAAAACCAAACAAAAAAAACAAAAACAGAAAACAAGTGTTGACAAGAATGTGGAGAAATTGGAACCCTTGTGCATTCCTGTTGGGAATGTAAAATGGGGCAGCCCCTATGGAAAACCATAGGATGGTTACTCAAAAAATTAAACATAGAATTATATGATCCAGCAATTCCACTTCTGGGTATATACCCAAAAGAATTGAAAGCAACAACCTGGACAGATATTTGTGTCCATGTTCATTATTCTCAGTAGCCAAAAGGTGGAAACAAACCAAATGTCCATCGGCAGATGAATGGATAAACAACATGTGGTTATATATATACAATGGAATATTATTCAGCCTCAAAAAGGGATGAAATTCTGACATGTGCTACAAGATGGGTGAACCTTGAGGTAAAGTGAACCTTAAGGCTAAGTGAAATAAGCCAGTCACAAACATACAAACATTGTATGATTCCACATATATGAGTTGTCTACAGTAGACAAATTCATACAAACAAACAGTAGAATGGTGCTTGACAGGGATGGGGGTAGGGGAGAACTGGGAGTGAGTGTTTACTGGGTACAGAGTTTCAGCAGGAGAATGTGAAGAGTACAGGAGATGGATGGTGGTGACAGATGCAGAACACTGTGAATGCACTTAATGCCACAGAACTGTACGCTTAAAAACAGTTAAAATAGCAAATTTGATGTTATTTATCTTTACTACAATAAAAAAAAATAATGGGGTTCCTAAGCAAATTATCAGAATTAATGACAAAAACTTTCCACTGACCTTGATTTTATCAATGTTTACAACCTTACTTCAATAAATTATCTTTGAATATATCTTTATATTACATGTCTTTATATTATGTCTATAATATAAACATATTATAATTATGTCTAATTATCTTTAAACATATTTAAAATATGTTTTCTATTTTAGTAAATGTCTTTATAAGACAAATGAATGTATTACCTCCTGAATTTCTTTTTCTAATAGCTCCACTCTTTCTCGAAGGTGTCTCCTCTCTGTGTCAATAGAAAGAAGTTCCAGTCGAACTGAGCTGCTTTCTCCCTCAGCTTGATGGGCTTTCACCTCCCAGTCTTCAGCACGGTTATGAAGCATCTGAAATCTATCTAACAAATCTTGATTTTCTTTTTCCTGGTGTAAGCATAATTAAATTGTTTCTAAATTAGTAACTGTCACTCACTGGAACAACCATGTCATAAATACATACATATATTGGGAATTCTGTTCTAATTTACGAAGCATTAGATATCTGTGCAGGGACTGTACTAAGATCTGTGGGGAAATATAAAAAGACAGTAGGGAAGATCCCCACTGTCAAACATTTAATATCAAATAGTGAAGACAGAATGAGCAAACATGGAAAAAAAAGAAAAAGTCCTAAATCCACTCAAAACAATGTTTTTTACCTTAGCTGCCATTAAGCTTTCCCATCGTGACACCTCTGTTATGTAATTATGAACTCTATTCTTCATTTCTTCTTTTTCTTGCACTGCTGCTTCCAATTCTAACGAGATTTCCTATGAACCAAAAAATTGAAGACAAATCTAAAATAAACACAGCACCAAATGTGTTCTGTTTATAGTCAAATAGTTCCTTTGGAATTTGGGAAGAAAGAGGAGGAAAAGAAGGAAAACTGTTCCTAAGTGGTATTTTCACATATTCTTCCTGGCTGATCTTGACATTTTAACTAAACTATACGACACATCTCCCAGAATAGTCCTCACCATATATCTGACATTTACACCAAGGGCTACCTATGGTCAGGGGTTAACATTTTTAAAAAATTTATATATCAGCAATATGCTTCACACTGATTAATACTTAAAGTAATTTTCTAAAATATAAAATATTTAAAACAAGAAAATCATTGGTCTTCCTGGTATAATCCTTTAATAAATCAGCACAAATAAAGCCAATACCTTTCAGTATTTGCCACTCTAAAATATTCATTAATTTACTCATAGGTATATCTCTAAGCCAGTGGCAGTAAGCACAAATAATTAAAATCTGCCATGGGTCTTTAAAACATAGAAACTTTGACCTGGGAATGATGGTATCACCCTATTGGGTGACAATGATTTCTGCCACAGAGAATTCCATGCTCCCAGCATTAGGTTTACTTGAAACAAAGACCAAAATGGTAAGGAGACCACAGTTGTATCCATTAGATACCCTGTGATATATAGCAGCATTCTAAATTACTTTTTTTTTTTTTGGCAGCTGGCCATTATAGGGATCTGAATCCACCACCTTGGTGTTATAAAGCTGTGCTCTAACCAACTGAGCTAACTGGCTAGCCCCTAAATTACATTTTTTAATACCCTGATAAGTAATTCTTTAAGGAGGATGGTGTTTTTATTGTTTATATTCATATCATAAAATTTTAGAAAAATACTTAGAATTTTAGTATTTAGTAAGCAATAAAGAGGTACCATAAATGATCAAAGTTTAAGCATTGTGTTCATACCTGGTTTTCTCTTGCCACTGTAGCCAGATCATCTTGTAATCTTCTGTTTTCCTTAAAAGATATTTCTCTAGATCTTCCTACTTCATCAAGTTCTTTGTGAGCTGCATCAAGCTGGCGCCGGAGGCTGCTTATCTCACGGTCTTGATTAGTCAATGTTTCTTTTAGCTGGCTGTTAAATGAGGGACATGAAAATAATTTTAAAAGCTTTTTGGCATAGGGGAAACACTTCAGGAAGTAGAACTGGACAAAGATTTAATGAATAAGACCTCCAAAGCACAGGCAACAAAAGGAAAAATAAACAAACGGGATTGTATCAAACTAAAAAGCTTCTGCACAGCAAAAGAAACAATTAATAGAGCAAAAAGACAATCTACAGAGTAGGAAAAAATATCTGCAAACTATGCATCTGACAAAGGATTAATATCCAGAATACACAAGGAACTCAATAGTAAAAAACCAAATAACCCAGTTAAAGAATGGGCAAAGGAGCTAATAGGCATTTCTCAAAGGAAGATATATAAATGGCTAACAGACATGAAAAGATGCTCAACATCATTCAGCATCAGGGAATGCAAATCAAACCCACATTGACATATCATCTCACCCCAGTTAGACTGGCTATTATCAAAAAGACAGAGAATAACAAATGCTAACAAGGATGCAGAGAAAGGAGAACCCTCCTACACTGTTGGTGGGACTGTAAATTGGTCCAACCTTTATGGAAAACAGTGTGGAGGTTCCTCAAATAACTACAGATAGAACTGACATATGATCCAGCAATTCCACAGCAGGATATATACCCGAAGGAATGGAAATCATCATGTTGAAGGGATACCTGCACCCCCATGTTTACTGCAGCTCTGTTTACAATAGCCAAGAGCTGGAACCAACCTAAATGTCCATCATTGGACAACTGGATAAGGAAAATGTGGTATATATACACAATGGAATACTACTCTGCTATAAAAAGAATGAAATATGGCCATTCACAGCAACATGGATGAACTCAAGAGAAAATCATGCTAAGTGAAATAAGCCAGGCACAGATAGAGAAATACCAAATACTCTCACTCAAAAGTGGAAGCTAAAAAATAAACAAATTAAAAAAAAAGAGAGAAAGATACAACAATCACAATAATATGTTGAGTTTTCAAAAGGAGAGAACAGAACTAAGGTTACCAGAGGTGAGAAAGGGGGAGGGGAGGGAGCATAAGGGAGGAACTGGTAAAGGGCCATGAAAAACGATTACTTTGTATAAAGTTGAATATACTTATTATCCTGATTTGAGCATCACACATTGCACACAGGTAATGATATTCAACTCTGTACCCCACAGAAATGTACAATCAACTATGTTACAATAAAATAAATAAATAAA